AGCCACTGCCCCTGGCCCCATCCTTATCTTTAAAAGAAAATTTACTTTATTTCTTTTCAGAGCAATACATTGGTACTCTAGTATCCCCTAAAGGTGAATAGTGACATTCATAAAGATTTGTATTGGAACTCCTTACCTCTGCCCTCTTCTTCCCCTCCTCTGCCTTTCTCCCTGTCTCTGTTTCCCCAGCACTGTCTACCCCCACTTTTGTCCCTGCTGCTGTCCTCTGCCCACCTTCCAACCTCTGGCTGTTCCTTCACCTACATTTCATCTGCGCTTCCCTACTGGCTCGTTTCCCTCAGCCCTGCTGTTCTTTAAAAAAACAAAAAAATAACAAAACCAAAAAAGCCTCTTTACATATGCTCTCTTCTGATTTTTTGAGAGAGTAGAATATGTTTGTTGTCTTGTTCCTTTGCCCTCTATTTCTTAGTCTACTATGATGTCTTTTCTACTCCTGTAATTCTCTTAGATATCCACCATTAAGCTCACCAGTGTCCTTTCAGTTGCCAAATACAGCAGCTACTCTTTAGAGTCGAGTCTTATGTACCCTCTCTGCCTCATCTGTCATTATGTTCTTCCTTTTAAACATTTCCTTGTTTAATTTCAAAAAATAAATTTTATTTCAGGAAACATAGACACAAAACACTGTTAATAGTTTAATGTATTTACAGTTTTCTTCTTGACAAATCTCTTATCCGTTCATTTTTGTGAAACCGTTTTCTCCCATTTTGTTTTGTTTTGTTTCCTTGTTTCTCTTCCTATTCCTCAGTTTGTTTAATAGACTTTCTTCCTCCACCTGTCCTTTATATAGTGGCATTCTCCAGTATTCTGTCCTTGGCTTTGTATTCTTCCAACTCCATGCCTTCTTCTTGGTTACTTTCATAATGGCCTTTTTGAAAAAATACACATATATATACATAAACACACACACACATGCAGTAAAATATGCACTTGAAAAATTTCAAAGCCTATAAGAGTTGATATTTTTACAGAAAAGTAATTCTCTCCTAATTTTCTTCCTCAGAGTCATCCTTCTAGGGAGATTATGTGCATATGCTAGTATATAGGTATTTATATATTTACTTATGCAATTCTTTAAAAAATTTTTATAGAAATGATAACATACTCAATACTAATTTGCATCTTTTTAAGTCTAAAAATATGTAGGAGATTATTCCACATCAGTACACAGAGACCTATTATGTTCTTTTTAGTGGCTGCATGACTGTGTATTAAATATTTGTGTTTTCCTTTCCCTGCACCACATAACATCTTATTTTGAAATAATTCAAACTTACAGAAAAGTTTAAAGAACAGTAGAATTAACATCCACCCCATATACCTACCTACCATTTTCCTTCTTTCTTTCTTTTTTTTTTTTTTTTTTTACTGAGTCATTTGAAAGTTAACATTGTAGGTATCATCTCAGTTTATTGCAAAATTGAATTCAATATGTATGTCTTAAGGGCTAAGATATTCTTTTACGTAATCATAATCCTCTTAATCACACCAAAGAAATTTAACATTGGTATAGTATTACCTAATAGAAAATCTGTATTCAAATTTCCACAGTTGCCCCCAGAATGTTCTATATAGTGTTTTGTTCCTCTCTCTCATCTAGGAGCTAATCAAGAATTGAGATTTTTACTTGGTTGTCATAGGCCTTTTGTTTAACTAACTACTATTAAAATAGAAGACTGCCAAGTTAGATCTCTGGATCAAACTCTTTCCTGAAGCAGACTGAAATATCTGCTAAATATAATTATTTGGATGTCCCACTAGCAACTCCAGAATAGCATGTCCACAGTGCGCTCAATATTTTCTGCTCTTGAGTTACTTTTCTTCCTATACGCCCAACTTAGTGCATGGTATCATTCAAGCATTGCCTAAACCAGAAGCCTCTGAGTTATCTTAATCTCCTCCCTCTTTGACACAGTACATGTTAATTCCTTTGCCTTTGATTCTCTTCCTACCTTGTCTACCAGGTTCAGCCTTTAAGACCAGCCTTTAAGACCCAGACTTTAAGCTTTACTCCCTTTAGGAAGCCTTCCCTGGCCTTTCTTTTTTCTCTATGCAGAATTAGATGTGTCTCCATTGGGCTCCTTTAGTATCCTCTGCACACACCTGTGCCATCAGTTATTACTTTGGGTGGTAATTATTGATTTACGTATCTGCCTTCTTAATTAGAGTGACCTCCTTATGTTGATGTGGACTTAACTCTCTTCTTTTTCTTTTTTTTTTTTTTTTGAGACACAGTCTCGCTCTGTCACCCAGGCTGGAGTGCAGTGGCACAACCTTGGCTCACTGCAATCTCCATCTCCCGGGTTCACGTCATTCTCCTGCCTCAGCCTCCTGAGTAGCTGGGACTACAGGCACCCGCCACCATGCTCAGCTAATTTTTTTGTATTTTTAGTAGAGATGGGTTTTCACCGTGTTAGCCAGGATGGTCTCCATCTCCTGACCTCGCGATCCGCCTGCCTCAGCCTCCCAAAGTGCTGGAATTACAGGCATGAGCCGCTGTGCTGGCCGGACTTAACTCTTTTCTGTACTAGGGATAGTAACAAAGTACCTGGCTTGTAAATGCTTAATAAATATTTATTAAATGGAAGAATAGGCTAATAGGCAGTCTTCTCTTTATCAATTAAAGATTTTTCAAATGACGCAGACAGTAACCCCAGGGAGAGAGGAGTTAGTGAATGTTTCTGAGTATTTACTATGTACCAGTTACTTTTCTTTGTATTTGCAAATGTTATTTCACTTAATCTCTACAACTTTAAGCTTTCAAAAGAAGAAATTAAAGTAACTGCCCCAGATTGTAAGTAAAGATTCGAACCCAAGTCTGACTGACTGTAAAAATATGCTTCTAAGTGTTTTAAAGGCATTTAAGGCTAGACGCGGTGGCTCACGCCTGTAATCCCAACATTTTCGGGGGCCAAGGCAGACAGATCACTTGAGGTCAGGAGTTCAAGACCAGCCTGGTCAACATGGTGAAACCCCGCACTCTACTAAAAAATACAAAAATTGGCCAGGCATGGTGGCGGATGCCTGTAATCCCAGATACTTGGGAGGCTGAAGCAGGAGAATTGCATGAACATGGGAAGCAGAGGTTGCAGTGAGCCAAGATCGTGCCACTGCACTCCAGCCTGGGTGATAGAACAAGACTCTGTCTCAAAATAAACAAAGGCTAGGCGTGGTGGCTGACGCCTGTAATCTCAGCACTTTGGGAGGCCGAGGCGGGCAGATCACAAGGTCAGGAGATCGAGACCATCCTGGCTAACACAGTGAAACCCCATCTCTACTAAAAATACAAAAAAAGCTTAGCCAAGCATGGTGGCACGCCCCTGTAATCCCAACTACTTGAGAGTCTGAGGCAGGAGAATCACTTGAACCTGGGAGGCGGAGGTTGCAGTGAGCCAAGATCGCACCGCTGCACTCCAGCCTGGGTGACAGCAATACTCCATCTCATAAATTTAAAAAAAAAAAAAAAAGGAAAAGAGAAAGAGAAAAAGGGTGATTAAGAGAGTTAGAAAGTCGAAATTTAGAGAAAAAATACAGTATCCAATTGTAGGACAGTAAATTATAGTATATCCCCACAATTAAAGGTTATATAATCATTACAAATTGTGTGGTTGAGGAATATTTACTGTCTTGGGAAAGTGTTTATGATGTAATGTGAAGTACTAAAAAGTAGTATATGAAAGTATCAATCTATTTTTTAAAAGTGTATCTACATACACAGAAAAGACTGGAAGGAAATACATGAAAAGGTTAGAAGTAATTTTCCCAGAGTTGTAGCATTTATAGGTTATATTAATTTCTTTTTTGTATAGGCTGTATTTTCCAGATTCTTTACAATGAACATGAACTTTTATAATCAGAAAAAAGGTCATTTAAAAACTAAAGGACTAAAGAAAAAATAATCAAGCAGAACTTATTTAAAGTTTTAGAATTATTACACTGGAAAGGTTTCATGTTGACCTTCCTTGTCTCTGGGGTGCAACAGGCCTGAGCATCCCAGACAGATGAGTGGTTCCTATTTTAAGATCTTCTCACTAGGATAAGCCAGCTCTCCTCTGCCTTACAGTCTGTTCTGTTGCCCAATAACCAGTGCAAAAGAAATTTTCCCTTTATACTATTTTATGAAGAAATGATAATGAGATACTCTTCTGTGTCTTGTAGAAATTTTCATCATATAAAGAGATTTTTTTCTCTCTAATATAAGAAAAGGGCCAAATTAATGCTCCTGCCTGGAAGAGAAAAAAAATGTAATGCTCCTGTCCGGACTTTATGTTTTACTGTATAAAAACATTGAAAGAAGTTGATAATGTAGATATTTAAGAAGAACCAGAAAGGAATAGGAAAGCATGAGTTGTTACCTGTCTCCATTAGTTTTCTTTGCAGAGACATTCTATGCATGAGGTATCTGTTTTTCCTCTGGGTGGCTGTTTTCCTAGCATAGCATGCAAGACTGATTAGTCTTAATTTTTCTCATTGGGATTTAGCACACTCTAGTGGATAGTAGCTTTTCAGTTTTCACAGTTTTTTAGAAAATCGTATCACATTACTTTATTGGACAATTCGGTGATATACTTACTAGTAGTAAAGTTTGTCAGTATTTGAGTCAAGTAATGACCCTAGTGAGCCAGAGTAACTTTGTCAGCCACTGGGGCGTTGTACATTTGTACGTGATTTTTTTAGTAGTAGGATGAGAGGCTTTTAACAGTATGTCAGAACTTTTCCCCAGTGGTTTTCCTCTTTTGAGTGGAATGAAATTGATGGGGGTGGCCAAAATGTAGAGGAACACTTTTACCTCTACCTCACACTCTTTAGGCCTTAGAATGTGCTTTATGTTTTCATTTTAGGACTCTTGAGAATTTTTATATACCAGTGTGTGACAATTTTGACTGTGTGTAAACATTGTTATAGCCTATCTTGATGGATTGTTTCTGGAAATGGGCTCCCACCAGAAACAAAAATAATCTTTTATTTTGCTTTTGCAGAGTGATGGTGATGATTTTAATTACATCATTGCATTTTTCCTTGGAACAGCAGCCTGCCTTTACCAGGTAGGTTTTCTTCCATTTTAAAGAAACACTTTCCATTATTGTTTATTTCAGGTATCAATTCTAACAATTGATTGTGCATTTTAAATAAATTATTAAAACTCTGAGTTATTTGCTTCTCTTTTAATTTGAGCCTCTTTTAACTTTGTGACCTACATCTCCATTTTGAGTGGACATAGATCCCAGTGAACCTGATGTTAACCTTTTTCCTGTGCTGAGGCTTCAGTGGTGGTATGTCATCTGCCTGTGGTAGTAAAGACCACTCCTAGGCTGGGTGTGGTGACTCATGCCTGTAATCCCAGTACTTTGGGAGGCCGAGCTGGGCAGATCACTTGAGGTCAGGAGTTCAAGGCCAGCTGGCCAACATGGTAAAACCTTGCCTCTACTCCTCTACTAAAAATACAAAAATTAGCCAGGCATGGTGATGCATGCCTGTAGTCCCAGCTACTTGGGAGGCTGAGACAGGAGAATTGCTTGAACCCAGGAGGTGGAGGTTGCAGTGAGCCGAGATCACGCCACTGCACTCCAGTCTGGGCAACAGAGCAAGGCTACATCTCAAAAAAAAAAAAAAAAAAAGACTACCAGATTTTCTGGTGTTTGATCATTCAGCTTCCAGGTTCTGCTTATACTCTAGGCTGAGGATTTTGTATTTGGGGGGAAGTTTTTGAATAGAGAGTGGCACAGCAAAAGCAGGATTTTCTGATTCAATTTAGCAGTAATGAATAGAATGGACTATAAGAGCAGAGAGACTGGAAGCAAGGAAATGGTTTGAAATTATTACTACAGGTAGAAAGTAATGCAAGCTAACATCGTAATGGCAATGAGGATAGAAAAAAATAGACATTGAGAAGGAAGACTCACTGGGACTTGAAGACTATGAAACTTAAGGAGGGAAGAGATATTCACCTGGGTGACATGGAGACTGATAGTCACATTTCCAAGGCCAGAGGAGGCACACATTTGTAGGAAAGGAAGTTACCGGTTACCCAAATGCAAGAATGTCTTTGTTAAAACATGTTACAGCAAGCAAGGCATTTTGACCTAACTTTAAGTGACACATTTTTCTAGCTTGAATTAAAAAAAATTAATATTAAGAGTCAGAACTGCAAATATAAGACTACCTAAAGTTCAGTGGACGTCTTTGGGGACATATTTTGAATATATGTATTTGACTTTTACATAAAGACATTAGACATTTTAGTTCCAGTGGCCCCATTTTTTAAAACTGCTTGATTTTTTTTTTTTTTTAAACGGAGTCTGGAGTGCAGTGGCGCAATCTCGGCTCACTGCAAGCTCCACCTCCGGGGTTCACACCATTCTCCTGCCTCACCCTCCCGAGTAGCCAGGACTACAGGCACCTGCCACCATACCCAGCTAGTTTTTTTGATTTTTAGTAGAGATGGGATTTCACCATGTTAGCCAGGATGGTCTCGATATCCTGACCTCATGATCCGCCCTCCTTGGCCTCCCAAAGTGCTAGGATTACAGGCATGAGCCACCGCGCCCAGCCAAAAAATTGCTTGATTTTCTTAACCATTTATATTATCTTCAGAAATTTTCTGTCAAATCTGACATTTAATAATGAATGACATTTCATGCAGGAAATGTGAAAACTTATATTTGTTAATGTCACATAGTCTTTAATTTTATGAAATATTGTATATATTTTTTTCTTTTCTTTTTTTTTTTCTGAGACAGAGTCTTGCTCTGTCACCCAGGCTGGAGTGCAGTGGTGCAATCTCGGCTCACTGCAAGCTCCGTCTCCCGGGTTCAGGCCATTCTCCTGCCTCAGCCTCCCAAGTAGCTGGGACTACAGGCACCCGTCAACCACGCCCAGCTATTTTTTTTTTTTTTTTTGTATTTTTAGTAGAGATGGGGTTTCACCGTGTTAGCCAGGATGGTCTCAATCTCCTGACCTCGAGATCCACCCGCCTCGGCCTCCCAAAGTGCTGGGATTACAGGCGTGAGCCACCGTGCCTGGCCTCTTGTATTTTCTATTTTAATTTCTATCGTGTCACAAAAGGGATAATATCTCTCTTCTTCTTTTTTTTTTTTTTTTTTTTTTTGAGACAGAGTCTTGCTGTGTCACCCAGGCTGGAGTGCAGTGGGGCAATCTTGGCTCACTGCAAGCTCCGCCTCCTGGGTTCACACCATTCTCCTGCCTTAGCCTCGCGAGTAGCTGGGACTACAGGCGCCCGCCACCACGCCCGGCTAATTTTTTATATTTTTAGTAGAGATGGAGTTTCACCATATTAGCCAGGATGGTCTCGGTCTCCTGACCTCATGATTTGCCCGCCTCCGCCTCCCAAAAAGTGCTGGGATTACAGGCGTGAGCCACTGCTCCCGGCTAATATCTCATTTTTTAAAGTGAGAAAACTGAGGCAGTTTCAGTACTGTTCTGAGATCACATAGTCAGAAAGCAGTAGAGTCAGGACTTAACTCTGGGTCTCTGATTTTGAGTATTGTGTTCTGTCTACTATATCATGCTGTCTCTAGGCAAAATTCCTAATTCGTGTAATTTTTATAATGTAATAAACTCAGTTTTATAACTGTACACATGATCTCATTTTATTTTTATCTAAAACTGTGAGGTATTAGCTTTAATATAATTTTATAAATAATCATTCTTGTAAAATATAAGTTTTGGTTGCTTTGTCTTAAGTAATTGTAAATGCTTAGTAATAATGGCAGAATGTATTGAGCTCTTATTTTGTGTTAAGCCTTTTATATTCATTGTACCATTAAATCCTCACAAAAAGGAGGATATACCATTATATCCTCCTCACTGAGGTATAGACAGTTCTTATAGCTTATTAGTGACTTGAACCCAGATCTCTGTGACTTCAGAGCACTTGACTACCAGGCTGTAGATATGCACGCCTCTGTTACATTTGCCAGAACAGCCTCAGGTAGTTTTGAGAGTTGCCTCATGGTAGAGTGGTGTCACTCAGGTGTTCTTTTACTTGAGAGAATTAAATAAATTCATGTTTTAAAAAAGAGAAGAAGAAAACTAATTTCCTTCACATTGAAAGGTATGAAACTTCCTGCTTTCTAAATATGATGAGCAGGGTGATAATAATGCTGTTTTTCCCCCCACAGTAAAACTTAAGTAATTATGTTTTACCATATAACGTGCTCTGTCTCCAGTTGTCAGGATATTTTTAAATCCTCTTTAGATCAGATCTGAAAAGCCATTACTACATTGTTTGTCACCTTTTTCATCAGGATGCAGGTGCTTATGGAAGCCCAAAGCTCAGCCCGATAGGATTAATCTTGATATGGAACATTTCAAATAGAGCAAAGGATCAGTGAAGAAACTAGAGACTATTCCTGTTCCTTCAGTGTTTTACTTTGAAAACTTGAAACTTACCGAAAAGTTGAAAAACCAGCATGCTTAGAGTCATCAATTGTTAACATCTTGCAACACCTTCTTTATCTCACTCCCTCTTTATATGTGTGTGCGCATGGCGTGTATAAACAGACCATCCCCGACTGGAACTTTTTTAACTTTATAATGATGCAAAAGTGATACGCATTCAGTAGAAGCTATGTTTCAGGTACTCACATGACCATGCTGGTTTTCAGCACACTATTCAATAAATTATAGGAGACAATGAACATATTTTAATAAAACAGGCTTTGTATTAGATGATTTTGCCCAACTGTAGGCCAAAGTTTTGAGCGTGTTTAAGGTAGGCTAGGCTAAGCTATGATGTTTGGTAGGTTAATTGTATTAAATACATTTTTAACTTAGGATATTTTCAACTTATAATGACTATATCAGGATGTGACCCTATCATAAGCCAAGGAGCTTCTGTTGTTATTTGTAAAGTAAGTTTCAGACATATGTGTGTGGGTAAAGTTTTTCTAATTAAACTTTTTATTTTGGGATAATTGCAGATTTACATGGCGTTGCAAGAGAGATCTTATGTACTCTTTACCTGGTTTCCCCCAATGTTATCATCTTGCAAAACTATGTAAAACAGTATCACAACCAGAGTATTGGTACTGATATAGTCAAGATACAGAACATTCCTCTCCCCACAGGGATCCCTCATGGAAGCCATATCCACTTCCTTAATCTAACCCCTCCTTAATCTCTGGCAATTACTAACAAGTTCTCCATTTCTAGAATTTTCTCATTTTAAGGACATTATATAAATGAAATTATATAGTATATAACTGGCATAGTTCAGAATGCTATAAGAAAATACCATAGATTGGGTGGCTTAAACAACAGATGTTTCTTTCTCATGGTTCTGGAATCTGGGAAGTCCAAGTTCCAGATACTGGCAGATCACGTTCTTGCTGAGGGCCCTTTTCCTGGCTTGCATAAGGCTGCCTTCTTAGTATATCCTCACACAGAGAAAGTGCTGAAATCTCTTCCTCCTCTTACATGGTCATTGATTCCATTATGGGGGCTCCGCCCTCATGACTTTGTCTAAACCTAATTACCTCCCAAAGGCCCCAGCTCCTAATACCATCACATTAGGGATTAAGGGCTTCAACATTTGAATTTAGAGAGGACACAAACATTTAGTCCGTAACAGTAACCTTTTGTGGTATGCATTTTGTTGTTGTTGTTGTTGTTGTTTGTTTGTTTATTCGGGGGACGGAGTCTTGCTCTGTCACCCAAGCTGGAGTGCAGTGGCCAAATCTTGGCTCACTGCAACCTCCGCCTCCTGGGTTCAAGCAGTTCTCCTGCCTCAGCATCCTGAGTAGCTGGGATTACAGGCATGTGCCACCATGCTTGGCTAATTTTGGTATTTTTAGTAGCGATGGGGTTTCACCATGTTGGTCAGGCTGGTCTTGAACTTCTGACCTCGTGATCTGCCCACCTCAGCCTCCCAAAGTGCTGGGATTACAGACAGGAGCCAGATAGGCATTTTTTTCACTCAGCATAATTCTCTGGAGATTGAGCCAAGTTGTTGCATAATCAATTATTTGTTGCTTTTTATTGCTGAGTAGTATTCCATGATATGTATCAATGATTTGTTCCTTTT